GAACTCCATCAGGGCAGAACTTTTAGCTGCTGTACAAGGGGTGCAATTTGCAAACCAGCTGGGGGTACAACACCTAACAATCGAGGGGGATTCCAAAGTGGTGGTGGGTTGGTTGRAAAATCCYRAAGAGGCTATGTGGCGTTACAAGAATGAAATGAAGAAATTTAGTTGGTTGGCAAGGAATATGTTGGTCACTGTACAGTGGATGGGGAGATCAACAAATACTTTGTCAAATGTGTTAGCTAAGCAAGGGGTAAATAGGGAAGAATTGTTTTGGGATCAGTTGTGATTCTTGCTTTTCTTTCATAGTTTACTTGTAAGATTCAAGGAGGGGCTGCAACTCGCGCCTCTCTCTAGGATGTTGTATGAACTCACTCTAAATCTGCTTTTGAATTAATAAATTTATTATCATTCATAAAAAAAAGAGATGAGAGAAGTGAAATGGAATGGGGTTAGATTCCACAAAAAATTAAAAAGGTTGAGAGGCAAAATAATAGAATGGAATAGGGATCAATTTGGAAGAGTGGAGGAGGTAAAAGCTAGATTATTGATTCAGATTGAGGATTTAGATGCAAAAGAATCCCAAGGAATGATGGATGAGCAAGACAGAGAAATAAGAAGGAAATTGAAAAAGGAGTTAGAGGAGTTTTGTTGAGGGAGGAGATTTCATGGAGACAAAAATCCAGATATAAGTGGATCAAGGAAGGGATGAGAATACCAAATTTTTTCATGTTATGGCTAATGGGAAGAGAAGGAAAAATTTGATATTAAAGCTGGAGGTTGATGGTGTGGAGATAACCTCTCAAGAGGAGATTGCTAGTAGGATTGTGGATCATTTCAAATCAATCTTTTAGAGACCTTTAGAGAATCAGTTAATAGTGGGGGGAGGAGAATTGGCCAACTTTGAACCAAACAGATAGGGGATGACTAGAAAGAATGATTGAGGAAGAGGAAATTAAACAAGCTGTCTTTTCTATGGATAGGGCTAAGGAACCAGGTCCAGACGAATTTACAATGGCTTTTTATCAGGATTGTTGGGACAGTCAAAGAAGATTTAATTGGAGCCTTTAGAGAATTTGAGGACAAACATGTTGTGAGTCCTGGAATCAATGCCACTTTTCTAGCCTTAATTCCTAAAAAGATTGATGCCAAACACCCCAAAGATTTTCGGCCAATCAGCCTGGTGACAAGCATCTATAAGATTCTGGCAAAAGTGCTCTCTAGGAGGATCAAAGCAGTTCTACCTTCTCTCATTAGCCAAGCACAAGGAGCCTTTATACGGGATAGAAAAATTACAGATTAGATCCTTATTGCAAATGAGAGTGTGGAAGAGATGAGGAGATCGGGTAGAAAAGGATTTGTCTGCAAATTAGACTTGGAGAAGGCCTATGATTTAGTGGATTGGAGTTTCTTGTTGGAGATGTCAAGAAGGCATGGATAAATGGTGTAATTGGATAAGAGGATGTTTAAATTCTCGCCGTTATTCTGTTTTGGTGAATGGGGTTGTTAAGGACTTCTTTCCAGCCAATAGAGGTTTAAGACAAGGTGATCCACTTTCCCCTTTCCTCTTTACTCTTGTTGCTGATGTTTTTAGTAGAATGATCTCCAAAGCAAATGAGGAGGGCCAAATAAAGGGATGGAGAATAGGGAACAGAGGCATTCTAGTAACTCACCTTCAGTTTGCTGATGATATTGTTATTTTCTGTGAAGGGAATGAGTTAAGTAAGGTGGAGAACCTTAAGAATCTAATAAGAACCTTTGAGAGTGTCTCCAACTTGAGGGTAAACTTTGATAAAAGTTGTGTGGCTAGAGTAAATATGGAGAATAGGGAGATTGAATCCATTGTAGAGTGCTTAGGTTGCAACATTTCTTCCTGGCCTTTGACATACTTAGGGCTACCCCTAGGAGCTAACCCTAAATAAAGTAGTTTCTGGGCCCCTATTGTGGAGAAATTTGATAAATACTTGGCGGCTTGGAAAAAGAATTACATCTCAATAGGGGGTAGGCTAACTTTAATTAAGGCTACACTTGCCAATCTTCCAACCTACTTCCTTTCAGTGTTCAGGATTCCTCCAAGGGAGGCTAAGAAATTGGAGAAGAAAATGAGGGACTTTTTGTGGGAACCAGGAGAGGTGAAAAATGATCATTTGGTTAGATGGGAGATAGTTAACAAACCAAAGGAAGAAGGGGGTCTAGGGATAGGGAACATAGTGCTGAAGAATGTAGCCCTTTTAGGGAAGTGGTTATGGAGATGGCCCCGAGAGAGAGAGAGAGACTATGGCATGAGGTGGTGGAAAGCATACATGGCTGCTCTGGAAATGGTTGGGATTCCGGGATATCTCGTCGAGCTACCCTCACAACACCTTGGAAGGCTATACATGGTATCCTCCCCCGCTTCCTCTGTTTGATCAGGTATGATGTTGGTTCTCGTAGTGCCATTCTATTTTGGGAGGGTATTTAGGTGGGTACTCAACTCCTCAAAGATCGTTTCCCCTCACTCTATTCCCTCTCCTGTCACAAAAACGAGCCAATTGCAAACTTTCTCCCGAGCCCGTTAACCCCCTTGTCTTTGAAACTGGGATTTCGGTTTTTGTAGAAGGTTAAGGGATGATGAGTCGAGTTGTGTTGTTGAGTTAATTCATTTGCTAGAATATATTTGCTTGGACCCCACTTCTTCTGATGAAAGAGTTTGGACTCCTCTTCTAAAAGGTACATTTACTTGTGCTTCCTTTCTAAAATCCCTCAGTTTTGACCCCATTTCCCAAGGTTTCCCTTTCAAAGAAGTCTAGGTGCGACCTATTCCCCCCAAAATTGTTGTATTCTGCTGGGAAGTCTACTATGGGAAAATCAATACTTTGGAAAACTTACAGAAAAAGAGACCCTCTCTTTGTCTTTCCCCAAATTGGTGTTCCTTGTGTAAGGCCAAGAATGAGGACTGTTTCCATGTGTTGATCTCCTGTTCACTTGCTACAGCTTTATGGAATTGGAGCCTTTGTTTATTTGGTGGTAGGTGGTCTTTGCCTTCCGATTTAAGGTTGTTATTTAACCCATCTTTTTTTGTTTGGCACACTAGAAGAGGCAAAGTCATGTGGAAATGTGTCAGGGCAGCCACTTTGTGGACTCTTTGGGAGGAAAGGAATGGAAGAATTTTTTCAGAGAAGGAAAGAGGGTTAAATGAAGTGAAGGACTGCATCCTTACAAGAACAATCCATTGGCTGAAAACATTAGATATGTTTGATGATTTCTCCTTTGATGACTTGTGGAGGAATTGGTTAATAATAGCTAACACTTCAAAACCAAGAAGAATAGAATCTTGTCAGAATGGGTTCCGCCTTTGGAAGGTGTCATCAAGTTGAATTTTGATGGAAGCAGCCAAGGTAATCTAGGGCCTTCAGGTATAGGGGGTGTCCTGAGAAATAAGGACAGCAACATAATCTCCATATTCTCGGGACCGGTGGCAGTAGGGGATTCCACAAGGGCAGAAATCCTTGCTGCAGTACAAGGAATTCAGATTGCTAACCAGCTTGGGGTGGAGCATCTCCTAGTTGAAGGGGACTCTCAGGTGGTAACSRKRTGGCTYCTAAACYYGGATACYACCATTTGGGGCTACAAAGATCTCATAAAAAAAGTAAAGTGGTTAACCAGCAATGTGAGAGTTGAGGTAAAATGGGTTAGCAGGTCTGCTAATTCTATAGCTGATTCTTTAGCCAAACAGGGGGTTTCCAGGGAAGACCTTTTTTGTGCTACTTTGTAAACTATTAGTAATCTAGAATTTGTACTTAACTAGCCTAGAGAGGGTGTACTATTGTCTATTGCTCATTAATAAACTTATTTCAATCATAAAAAAAAAAAACGAAAAGGTCTGATAACAAAAAGAAGTTTTTGTAGGGGCACACCAACATAACTGTTAGTTCTCCATGTCTTTAACCAAACAGTTGTTTGATTTTATGATCAAATTATAGTCCTTTGCAAGGACATTAATATAACTTACTTTTATTCAGGAGCAAGTGTATTTACAACACTGGATATAAAGTAACTCATATTTTACATTAAAGGAAACTAAATTACCAATTATTCTTTCAAACTACCAACTGCATCTTGATATGAAGGGAAAGCAACAAACCTGCTGCTTCTGATGCTTTGTCTTCTCTACAACACCATTAAAACTATTTTCATGGGTGTTATTTACCTTAGCACCAACTTCTTTAGAATCTTTATTCATATAGTCTTGCAACTGTGGCTCTGTTTTTCCATTATGTGAAGAACTCAAAGCAACTTGTTGATTTTTTGTCAAAATGGAGAGACTTTGCTCAGGTGATACTGGTGCTACTCTATTACGATTTATTTCCCATGCAGGAGACTCTGGTCCAGCATGCCTGCAAAGTGGAAAAGAAAACAGCAGGCTGTGCTATCAATATTTTTGTAAACAATAAAATGAAATCTAGCTTTTTGAAGAAACTTCAACAAAGTAACATAAAATCTCAAAATTTTGGCATGGCTCAAGTTAAAGAGGAGATGGAAGAAAGAAATGATCAGCTTTAGATGATTCAAACCATTGAAGCCCACTATACTCTTAGAGTATTGATGACCATAGAAAAATGTCAAAAACAATGCTAAAACCAAGTGCTTGTGCATCTAATTTAGGTTGCTTATGGCCTGAAGATCTCCTACTAACACAACGACAGAATAACCCTCTCATTGCCCTAATGTTTAACAAGTGCACTCCCTTCCTATTTTTGTCTTACACGAATCTTCATGGCACCTGAATTTAGTATGGCAGAGGACATATTTGCTGCACTTATGGGTTCAAGAAAAACAATAATAAAGACAAAATTGAACCTAAATATAATGATTATAAAAAAATAAATCAGAGCTCTATTATGCAGACTATAGATAATAAGACAGAACAAAGTTCTTGAGAGGCTTAATACCTAGTTACCTACAGATGCCAAGAATCTATATGTGATTTGTGTTTGAACACAACTAGATTGACTAGTTTTTATCCCAAAATATGGATGATTAGATTTTATGTTCTTCCTTTACTAGTTTCAACAGTGAAAGTATAATTCAGTTAACAATGTGCTAACTCCTGAAAACATTTAGCACAGAACTACCTGAAATTTTGAGAATCAGAGTTGACAGTGGCTTCCTGTGAGGACCTATTCATGCTATCTGCTATTGGTGTCTCAATAGAAGCTGCATCAATTGAGTTAAAACCATCTTGTAAAGAAGTGACGTCTGCCTGTACATCCTCATCCAAATCTAGAAACTCTTGACTGAGGGAGCCAGAACTGGAGCAACTTCGGTCACTAAATCCACCACTTCGTACCATAGAAATTGCCTGATCTAATATGCCAAGGGCTTGTTTAACTTCAGGACTTATAAAACCTTTATTTTTCTTGTTGAGACAGAACTGCTCCGGAATCAGATTGGTTGAAGAGAAAAGTTTTCCTTCATTACTATCCTCCACTTGCCTATATTGCTCAATCTCTTCTTCCACAATCTCACTAACAGGCATCTGGTCTATAACTATCTTATCATCTTCTGGAGTTTCCACTGTATGATCATTGTTGGGAGACATCTGGTTTAAAACTGGTGTATTATCCTGGGGACTACAAGCTGTATGTTCTTCAGGGAGGAGACGTGGAGATTCATCATTCTTCATAGCTTCTACTACCAGAGCCTTCTGTAATTTAATGTTGGAATATAGACCTTCACGTACCCGAACATATAGTGGATCCTCCAAGGCCTTTGAGAATTTCTCATCAATTTTGGCAGAAGAAACTACCTGCAGCATCAGCCATTTGAAAAGAATAATATAGACAAAGATGGCAGGTGCATGATCAAATAGTGATCTCACTTACATTACGATCAATCAGATTTAAAGATCCTATGAGTTAGGTTGAAACATTGGATGCTGATCTTAGTAAGGGGGCAGGAGGCTATCGCTGAATTGATTTTCCTGGTTATAAGATTTTCTAGTCCAAATACAACTGTTTGACATGGAGCTCCAATATGATAATCAAACAAGTGGGAGGAACATTGGGGTAACCTAGTATCTAGGGAACTCCCAAGAATTACTTCAGACCATTGGCCTATAGTGATGTGTAAGGAGGAATTGAGAGGTGATGGACCCACTCCATTCAGGTTTGAAAATATGTGGTTGACCCATCTAGGATTCAGTGAGAAGATCAAGGAGTGGTGGGAGCAATCTAATCTGGTAGTAGAGTGGGAGGGAATGAGGTTCCACAAGAAACTTCAATTTCTAAAATCACAATTAAATGAGTGGAATAGGTTGGAGTTTGGGAGAATAGAGGAAGGAAACAAGTCCTGCTAGAGCAGATTGAGGATTTGGATATGAAGGAAGAGAGGGGATCCTTTGGAGAGGAAGACAGGAAAATGAGATGGGAGTTGAGGAGGCAGATGGAGGATATTCTGATTAAGGAGGAAATAAGTTGGAGGCAAAAATCTAGGTGTAAGTGGCTAAAGGAGGGAGATAGAAACACTAGATTTTTCCATTCAATGGMAAATGGGAGGAGAAAAAAGAATCTCATATCAAAATTGGAAGTASAAGGAGCAGTCTTGTCGAACTCGATAGAAATAGCAGAGGCCTTAGTAACTCATTTCAAATCTATATTCAGAAGGCCTTTGAATGAGAGGGTGTGGTTGGAGGGTTTGGAGTGGTCGACTCTAAGTGTAGAGAACAGAGAATGGTTGGAAAAGAGGTTTGATCCGGAAGAGATAAAGGCGACAGTATTTGGATAGGACAAAAGCTCCAAGCCTAGATGGCTTCACAATGGCTTTCTTTCAGGATTGTTGGGATATAGTGGAGAAGGATCTTAGGTCAGTCTTCGAGGAGTTTCACAGTAGGGGAATAATTAATCCGGGCCTGAACTCAACTTTCATTGCTTTGGTCCCAAAGAAGAAAGAGGCATCACAACCTAAGGATTTCAGACCTATTAGTTTGGTGGTTAGTTTGTATAAAATAATTGCAGAAGTGTTGTCCCTTAGGATAAAGAAGGTCCTCCCTCTATTATTGCACCCAACCAAGGAGCATTTGTAGATGGAAGACAGATCACTAATCAAATCCTCATTGCAAATGAGAGTCTGGAGAGCTTCAGGAAATCTAAGAAGAAGGGAGTGGTATGGAAATTGGACTTGGAGAAGGCTTATGACTTAATGGATTGGTCTTTTTTAGTGGAGGTGTTGAGAAGCTATGGCTTTGGAGAAATGTGGTGTAAATGGATTTGGGGTTGTATTAGGACTTGTCACTATTATATATTGGTGAATGGAACGGTGGTTGACTTTTTTCTTGCTTTGAGAGGTATAAGACAAGGAGACCCACTCTCCCCCTTTCCTTTTACCTTGATGGCTGATGTACTTGGGAGATTGATCCATAGAGCAGACTCGAGGAATCTGATAAGAGGGTAGAGAGTTGGTAGGGAGGAGGTACCACTGACACATCTCCAGTTTGCAGATGACACAATTTTGTTTTGTGAGGTTGGGAATATAAGCTGGATCCGAAATTTAAAATTAGCAATACAACTCTTTGAGCAGATGTCTAACCTTAAGGTGAACTTTGATAAGAGTTGTGTGGTGGGGGTGAATGTGGAGGAGAGGGAGTTAAGGAGTTATGCAGGTGTGTTAGGTTGTGCAATCTCAGATTGGCCTTTGACGTACTTGGGCCTCCCTTTAGGAGATAACCCTAAGAATGAAAGCTTTTGGACTCCTGTAGTGGAGAGATTTGAGAAGAGGCTTGCTTCCTGGAAGAGAAATTATCTTTCCTTAGGAGGGAGAGTCACTCTGATTAGGTCCACCCTAGCTAACTTACCTGTTTATTATTTGTCAGTGTTTAAGATCCCACCAAGGTCTCCAACTTATTGGAAAAATTAATGAGGAATTTTCTATGGGAGCCAGGAGAGGAGAAGAGAGATCATAGGGTGAGATGGGAGGTGGTAATTAGATGTAAAAAACTAGGAGGTCTTGGGATTGGAAACATCAAGAAAAGGAATATGGCGTTGTTGGGAAAATGGTTGTGGAGGTTCATAGTGGAAAAGGAAAAATTGTTGACAAAGATCGTGGCTAGCATACATGGGCTGGAAGACAACGACTGGGATTCTGGAATTGTGGCAAGGGCTACAGTTGCTTCTCCATAGAAATCCATCCATGATCTGCTTCCAGCTTTCTCCCCTTGTATCAGGTACGGTGTTAACTCTGGCAATCGAATAAAATTTTGGGAACATCTTTGGGTTGGGGTTTCACCTCTGAAGGACCAGTTTCCTTCCTTGTATGCTCTGTCAGATTTGAAAAATGAACCTATCTCTTCTTTTTTAGTTCCTTCAGACTCCACTTCTGGTTTTGGGTGGAACCTCGGCTTGCAAAG